TGAGGGGCTAGATGGGTGGTCCACCTCCTTAGGAGAAAATGGAGGCTTCGTTTTTATTAAAAGTGTGAGTATAGGGAAGAAGTGAGATGATTGCCCCCCTGCCCCCATTCAGCTCGCAGAGGACTCGTGACTGCCAGGCCCATTAACTCCCAGAGACAGTTGGGTTAGAAGCCAGGTGTCCAGGTAGTAGCTGGAAAATCTGGAGCATGATATGTTTGGTCTAACTCCACCCAGAAAGAAGCCACAGTCTTGGTTTTATTGCTAGAGAAAGCTGGGGGAAGAAGTCACCAGAAGAACCCACATACCCATCCAAGATCCCAGAGAACTAATGATTGCCTGTCCCAGGTACAGGATAGATAGAAACCAGACACTTGGCCAGTAGCTGGCAGAGTTGGGACATTAGGTGTGTAGTCTGACCCTCTCCAGGGAGAGGTGAGGAGCTGAACCTCACGTCCTGTCACTCTGTTCTGAGCCAGTGGAGAGAGGCACAGGGGGTGCTGGCAGGCTCCTTTATAATCACCTCTGTGTTTGCATGGTCCAGGGGGATGAGCAAGGGCCAATCCCTGGCAACTTTCAGAGACAAGCAACCTAGGAGCCAGGTCCTTGGGTAGCATCCATAAGTGTAGGGGCACTAGCTGTGCAGTCTCACTGTCACTCTTCAGGGAGGAGAATTAGAGGAGTGGGAGAGCTGACCAGTCCCAAAGCAACTGCAGTTCCTATCTATGTATCCCTGGCTCTAGGCATGGTGCTGCCCTCCCTTGTATCCTGGCACGCAGCCACTAAGGAGGGAGTGAGGGATAAAGTGTCCAAACCTCCTCTGTTGAGTCTTCCAAATTCTGTCTTTGGGATCAGTCAACAGTGTGCCTGGGGCGTGTTCAGCCCTGGGGTTGACTGACAGAACTCCAGATTATCCAAATCTTGGAGGTCAAAGAGAAGATCCCAAGAGGTTTGCCCCTACTGATATCACAGTTCCTTCCAGTGTATCTTCCCCTTTTAAATTTTTGTAGCTGGTGCTTAGCTTTTAATGTTTCTGTTTCTTTTTGCAGCAAAGCGGTGTTAATTCAGCTCTACAGCCCCCAATCTTTACTTCAAAGGAAAGGCATTCTGCTTCACAGCGACCGTTCAGTTTTGCACAGTTTTCTTCTACGAAATGCTCCCCCTGCTAAGTGAAGAAAGCAGTTAGTCTTCAGTTATCTATACTTAGTGACTGGAAGGAAAAATTGTCACTAAGCCAAATTCAGAATTCTTGACTACAAAGTCTCCTAGAGATAGAGTATGAATCTAAAGTTTGAAAAATTGGCTATTACCTGAACACCCATGCCTGAGCTCAGAGCCCTGGGGCAGTACATGCAATGTCCTCTAGATACTCAATGAGGAAGGACAAAAAATGTTCCCTCTGCCAAGATTATGCATAGCTTACCCAGAAACAAAAAGTCTTTTTTTTTTTCTAATTCTAATAAACAATTATTTCCAACAAGTTATTTTAATATCTCCAATTAATAGTGTCTGATACAGGGGGAAAGGCAGACTGTACTATTTGCAGAATCAGCAGCTTACTGATAGACCTTAATGTGCCTTGTCATGTGATCTTACAGTTTCATAGCTTTAAAGATAAAAGAAACATGGTGCTGGTCTTTCTCACTCTGTCCTGCAAAGAACAGGACTAGAAACTTGCAGTTAATTCTGGCACCCATATTTAGAGAGGATAGGCAAAAGAGTTCATCCAAAATAGGAATTTAGTAGAAAAGAATACAATTTATCTTTGAATGATTTTTTAAATGGGAATATGAACACTCAGGAGAAACGTTGAACGAATTGGCAGTTACTCTCAAAAGTAATGCTTATTCTTAGAAAGAGTAAATCAAGGGGAAAGGGTACATATTAACTGCAATGTACATAAAATATTACCATGTTGGTAGTGCCCAAGTTAGGGTTAAGACCAATGTAAATCTGCTCAAAGTGGACTATTTTAAATAGTCCAATGTGCAACTGAGGATATAAACATCTGAACAGATGATTAACATGACATATGTATGAGGTGTTCAAACCCTGAATTGGGGCAGAGAATAAGAAAAAGTAACAATAGGGACAATAAAGCAATAATAATTGCCAGCTGTAACAGCACAGGGTATGTTCCTGGCCCTGTTCAAGCAGTTAAGTGAATATAGAGATTGTCCCCAAGCAGTCACCTTCCCAGTCAGCTGTTTAGTAACAGAACCTTTGGGTTTCGCTGAACACTGAGATACTTAGCTTAGAACGTCAGCTTGTAGCTTCATTTGTCAATATGGCCATGTTATTAAGTTGGGCCCAAAGAAGGAGGAGGGGAATGACAAGCGCTGCCCCTGTTTAAACTTGTCCCTCGATGTCTCTACTGAGAGTACATGCTCGACATTTAGAGCATCTTTTCAACCTGATCAAACAGTGGCATGGTTAGGATGTCAAGGTTGAACTTCAGCCTAATCTCAGCATAGCTTGATGGAGAGCCTCCAGCCCAACCTAGTTGAATTTTTGGGCTTTTTGGACTTTTGTATAAAAATAAAACAGATTTCCATGTTTTGTTAGTCACTCTATTTTTAAGTTTCCTTATTTTAACAAGTCATCCTGTAATTAATGTAGCAAATTCCTTAATATTAAAAGAAATCCTATTATCACTTCCACTTATAGAGAGGAAACTGAAGTACAGAATTCAAACAGCTTATGAGGATTGAAATGGAGATTTAACCTTGAGTAGCTGAAACTCCTGATCTCTGTTCCTTTATTTGACCATTAGATGCATGCTCATCTCTGAGACTCTTCACAGTGGTTGTGGTTGTAGAGTCATTATTTGGGCCCCAGTTTTGCTTGTTTTGGGGATTCAAGCATGCCCAGGCTAAGCTCTGGAGATAGCAAGCTCTTAAGAATCTCCTTCTACATACTGACGTGACTAATGTGGAGTCCTGGTTGTGGGTGGAGAGAACAGTTTAAAACGTATTTTCCTGGCTGGAATCCACCTTCTGACATCTGTGGAAAGAGGCTGGGAGCAGAAGCTAAGGGGCTGATTCTGCAAGTGAGAACCTGGCATGAGGACGTTGCTCCTGGCTGCCCTTTGGTCTCACCCTACCTGCTTTCAAGAATGATCCTTTAGAAGAACCGAAGGCTCAAGAGCAAGTGAATCAAGATGTTGGTGGTTTTAATGATACATTTTTTAATCACTATGTGAGAATGAAAGAATGTCTGAAATAATCTAAGGATAGGAGAATTGGGCCAACTAAGGAAACACAGAAAACTGCCGGCTACAAGCTATTAACTTAGCTTAGACTACAAAGGCTTTATTTTCCTGAATTAGCAATGTGTTTGGAGGGTGCCTCTGGGACTTCCTCTTATATTAAGCAATCACTGTGGCCTGTGCTGAGGATGGGTTGAAGGCTACAAACTCAGGAAAGAGATGTAAATGTAAAAAGAAGCCCAAACCCCTTGGTGGAGGTTTTAGGAAAACAAATGAGATAAATCCTGGTGGGAGATGATCTGGGTCAGTGGGTCCCTTGGCTCTATTTCTGAGCACAGGACAGAATCCCAGGGACTAGTTTGGCCTGGGACCTTTATAGGACACAAGAATGAATGAGGCACTTTTGTAAAAAGCAGACCTTTCTTCTCCAAAGACAGATCCTGAACCAGTTGCCAATTCTGCCTCTCTAAGCACTTTCCTCTTACCTGGGAAAATTTGAGCAACAAGAATGAGGCCAGCAAAAATTAAGGAAAATATTCTCATGGCTTCAGACAACTGTGGAGAGATGAAGAGGGAGGTGCAGTAGCTGGAGCCCAGCTCTTCAGTCAAGGGAAGTTGGCAAAGATTCATTCTACTGCTCTGAACTGGCTTTAAGTCAGCCTTGGTCTGAAATGCTCATTAGGAACACACTGTTTTCATGCTCCAGTGAGTAGTGTGTGGGCTGACAGGTGAGACTTTGCCTAGTCACAATATGAGAGTGTAAGAAGGAACCTTGTCTGGAATACTCTATTCTGTGACGGTCTAGACTTCTCCCACATTTCCTTCAACCCCCATCTGGAGGACCACCAGTTATTCCATAAGACCTATGAACCCAACTCATTTTCTTCTCATTTTAAGATTCTACATATGACTTACTCTTCTTATTTTTACCTGTTAACTTTATTACAATTATTTGCCTGTATTCAGTGAAGAAATGAGGGGTTCACTTCCATATGTGCACAGACCTTGTGATGGGAAGCCCATCCCCTTACTTCTGCCCCTCCCATCCCCTTTCTCTCCTGCCCCACCCCACTTCCCAGGGACTTACCACTCCTCTTCTTTATGATCATTTTTCATTTATTTTTCTTTCATTATTGTTTAATTTTCAAGTAT